AAGGTGCCCGGGGAATGTGCTGAACCCCATCCCCCCACTAGGATCTCCCACCCCCTTGCTTTTTCCAAAGCGTCGCCTGTTACTGCTGTTTCCCCACCCCTGCTTTTTTTAATTAGAGGATAAATTTTACTTCCTATTTCCACTGTTCGCTTTAATACACGTAACACGGCATTAAAAGCATTGACGTTTCACGAGAGTAAACAGCCGCCCTTTTTTGCGTGCGGATGCAAGGCGCCTTTAACCGTGTTTTGTCCGGGTTTACGTTTACCAAGCACCTCTGTTTTTCTCCTTAGCGCTGTACGCGGTGAAAGTGCGCGCCGAAGCCATGCAAAAGGCGTCGGAAGCTGTCCCCAGCGGAATGCTGTCCGTTGTCGGCCGGCGAGAGGCGAATTACAAATTTGCCTGCTTGGAAGCCCGTAGACACTGTGAATCGCTGGGTATAGAAAACCCTGTTTGTGAAGTTTCAAACTATCTGTTTCCAGACAGCAGAGTCATTGCAGGACACTTGCAGGTATTGCATCAGGATTACTATCTCTTTAGTTGAGTTTAACATTTCATTTTTAAAAACTTTTACTTTGCACTTCTCTGGGGAAGTTATGTACAGCCTTAGTTTGCCCAAATGGAAGTATTTGGTCTGTGGGGTGATTGTTTTTCCAGCGTATGCTCTGTTGTTGGCTAGGGAAAGGAATCCCTTTACCACGGTAAGTCTGGTGAGGTGGTTCTTGTGGGGTGACTGAGTAAATGTTTTGTCATGCAAGACTCTCACTTCTCTCTCTTTTCTATAGGCTTTGGAGTTTTTGCAGGAGAATGCCCGAAAATACTATTTTACACGTACAAAAATGCTTCCGGTCAGTGGGGCTTTTCACACCAGACTTATGGAACCAGCAGTGGAGCCCTTGGCTGAAGTCCTAAAATCAATCGAGATTCAGAAACCACTGTTTAATGTCCATTCCAATGTTGATGGGAAAAGGTACATGCACGCAAAGCACATTCGGAAGCTGTTAGTGAAGCAGGTGGTGTCACCTGTTCAGTGGGAACAGACCATGCATTCTGTATACGAAAGAAAGCAAGGAACAGAATTTCCTTACACATATGAAGTGGGGCCTGGGAATCAACTAGGAGTCATTCTCAAAAAATGTAATTTAAAGGCCTGGAAACAATATAAACATGTGGATGCTTTGGAAGATGAGGAAGCAGAAGAGACCTAAGTACCCTTTAAAGAAAAATCCACACAACTTGTTTTTTCTGCCTAATTTAAAAATAACTTTGAGCTCCCAGAAGAGGAAGCCTTAACCATTCATGGTTTCTCATGATGAGCACCGTGCGCGCACTCGCAATGAACATTTTTGTTCCCATGTGCCTGTGGTGTGGAAGGGGAGAGCAATGTCCACCTCCTCCGTCTGTGTCGGGACTGCAAAACTGCCAATAAACACACCAAACAGCTGCCTGTTTGGCCCCAGTCCTGCAAGCAACTTCCCTTCTCTTTTTTTTTTTCCCCTCTTTATTTAAGTTGGTTTTTTTTGGGGGAGGGGCATGGATTCAAGTTAAGGTCGGTACCTTTGGCTGTCTGATACAGACATCTTCTGCATGGATATGGGGGGTAGAACAGGGCTGTTTGCTCCAGGTTGGAGAGGGCACTGCACTGGGTTTGAGGGTACGTTTAGAGGAGCTATAGGGTTGGTACAGCTTTCGGTATGTTGGTGGTCATGTTTCCTAACGTGACTGACTTGTGGGATGTTCATCTGTCCAAAATTATTCTATTTTGTGTCCGTATTGTTGCCGGGTAGCAGCTGGGTGAGGCAGATGATGTTATTAGGAACATCATTTTCTTAAGGTTAAACTATAAATAAACTATAAAGGTTTTCTTGGTATTTTTGATGCTATGGGGTGCATCATTACTGGCCTGTGGTTTGCATGTGGAAGTCATTTTCCCTCCAGTTGTCCAGGGCCGCATTGGTTGTGCTAAGTTACACAAGAAACACTTCACCGAAAGAAAAAGCGTAACAAAATTCCCCACCTCCGCAGAGGTGCGGGACTTTTGTCATCCCTGACTGTGCCTCTGAGGCTGCGTGGGCTGAACCAGCCCTTTGGATGACTTTTCTTAATGGAGCAGAAAGCAGCAGCAGTGGAAACTGTGGAAACTGTGGAAAGATCTTTTCGGGGCCACCTTTGTACATGGTGAACCCTGTGGTAACAAGAGTGCTGGGAGGAGGATTTGGATGCTGGTGCTTCAGGGCTCTGCACATTCTGGGCTGTGTTTTGCCAGTTTGCACATTTCCTGGCAGCTGGGGAGGAGCTGGAGAGGAGCAGGTTGTCCTGAACCCTCCTGGAAAGAGCCTCCCAGTTCATTTGTTGGCACCCACCGTGGTTTGGTGGGCGAGGGCTGGAGGCAGGTCCCGGGGCTGGCTGTGAGGAGCACACGCTGCCTCCAGCACCTTCCTCTGTGCCTGCACTGCTCGAAGTGCCACTCGGAACGGCCTTAGCGCCAAATCCGTTGTGGGTTTGGATCTGGTAACCAAGCTTTGGCCTATTAAAATAGGTGCAGTGGTGTGACACCACCGTGCTGCCTGCAGAAGGTACCTGCAGAGCGCGCAGAGAATGTGAGCTTGCTTGGTTTGCCCTGTGTCTGAGAGGGGCACTGAAAGCTCGAGGAAGTACCAGAGAACAGCGTTTGCCAGGGGATTGTGTCCAAGCAAGCAGGGAAAGGTTACGTGGTGTGAATTATAGTGGGGCCAGAAGCTTCAACTGAAGTCTTGCTTTCTTAAATTCTTTATAGTTTAATGGTGTATTTAACAGATGCATAGGAAAGATTTAGGATATATTACTTGAATCAGGTGACCATGCACATTTTCAGTAATGTATTATGAAATGCAGAATTACTTCCAATTACAGTATTTATCATTTCATAATTGGACATTTCTGATAGGGCAAGTGAATTAAAAATAACTGGCCTCAATTATGATTGCTTAGTGGAGTATATTATTAAATTATTCTTTTGTGAACTGAAATTGGCAGCTGAGCCTACCTATACAGTACAAATTCCACTTCTGGCATGTGTAAACAGTAACGATCAGTAAAACAGAGAAGAATTTGTCAGCCTAATCATTGCCCTATGAGAAGCTACCAGTTACTGTAAAGAAAGTCATTTCAGTGAAGGCCCCTCTGTCCCAGGTAAGGGGTTAATTATTCAATAAAGCGTACCAAGGCCTTCACTAGGTGGTTCGAACATCTTGGCTAAATCCCACTCATGTTATTAAATGTTTGATTATGTGCTGTGTTAGAAGTTTCTGACTACATCTTGAAGACCAAACACAATGTGACTTTGAAACCAGCTTTTATCACAGCTGGAACTGAGCATGGCATGTTGGTGGCACCCATTTTGGTTTTAGTATAGAGCTTTATAGTTTTTGGACTTTTCATTCTTGAACTTTTTTGGTGGAAATTTTAGAGACACATTTTCTATTTAGATTGCTCTTACCATAAAAAGATACTTTTTAAAAATTATTTATTTCACTTTGTTGCATCCTTTGCCTGGAATAAAAGCTCTTTGGGAGAACCCTGCTAAAACCTCATTTGCAAATGCAGAATATTAGATAACCTTTGCACCCTCCTCAGCTGCAGGGTGCTGAAGGGATGTCTGCATCCTAAGAGCACCCCGCTCTTGTGGGCCCTGTTTAATTGGTGGAAAGAAGGAACCGTAGCCACTGTGTGGGCATTTGCTTTTCTTCTGTGCAGCATTTGAGCCTAAGCTGAGGTAGTGAGCTGGGTGCTGCTGAGGCTGCTCCTCAGTGAGCCTCGTGTCTTCAAAACCAGAAGCCAAGCACTGCTGAACTCGTGTGATGATGCTGCAGTTTCTATCAGGTAAAAAAGTGTGACTGAGGTCTTCGTGCTTCTGCACCAAGAGCGTTCAGGGCTCGCTTTCGTGCAGTGCCTGGCAGCGTGGCGTCACGCTGGTGTATGGCTGTAAACGCGCGGATGGGTGACTCATGTTGTAACACTTGTCTGTGGGGCTGCAGAGTGGTGTGCCGAGTAACTGAGAATCCTGGATCTTTGTAGTGTTATTTGTATTCCTTTTATGTGCTTACTCATCTATGCCTTCTGGTTCTGGAAGCTGAACGTTTAAGACATGAAAAGTCGACACAGTTCCTTCACCTAGGAACAGGCAGAAACAGGATGTGGAAAAAAATGAAGTGCCGTAAACTCTGTCACATGAGGAAGTGTGCAGCAAAAAAAAATATTTAAATTTGGGTCTCCTGAGTCACAGTGTAGAGCCTTACCTAAGAGGCTCTTTGCTCAGCTCCGCAGATGAGAGCGGGGTCTGGTAATTACTGCTCCAGTTTGTGCTAATTCTTCTTGTGGATGCTGTTTGATTTGTGTTTCACTTGCTTCATCAGTGTGATTGCATTTTGTATTCCTTGAGACTCTGTTTTGCTCTCTATGTGCTGGATGCTGAACTTCCCTTCTCTTGTGATTCAAAATGTGACGTTATTGTTTGCAAGAGCGTGAAAAAGCAGAGTCGTTGCACACAGCTCTCAGATGGAATAGGTAGCGTGGCAGTCTCCCGTTTATCATTGCTCCTCTGTGCATACAAATTACGTATCTAGAAATAACTAGAATTATTTTGGACTGTTAAAGTGATTCAGCTGAGAAGAATCATTTTTTTGGCAGCAGGTACTCCTATTACACTTGCATAGACAGTTTATTAGTCCCTCTTGGGAATTTTTACACTTCACTAAATAATAATTTTTACCATATTTTCTATCACACTGCTGTTACAGAGTTAGAGCAGTCAATTTGCTGATGAAGCTTTGGTCAGGTTTTTGGTTATATGGGCAGTTCAGCTGGCCAGCTTCTGGCCCGAGTGAGACTGTGGTTCCAGATGTGCTAATCCTGCTTTTCTAGAAAAAACTTGCCTATCTGCTGCTGAAGGGCAAATGGGCTTGAGGGCATTTTGAAAGAAGGTGGCACTAGAATAAATGCTGCTGCTGCTGCTGCTTGAGCTTTCGGGGCATGCTGGAGCCATCACCTTCTATGTACCTTCTTTGCGTACCTTCTTTTTGCTCTGCATCACAAGTCAATCAAAGATATTTGGAAGTCCTTTAACGTGACATGGTTGAATTAAAGACTCTGGTTGAGCCTTTTTTTTCCTTTTTTTTTTTTTCTTCCTCCCCAGAAGAATTTTTTGAGATGGGCAGTTAGGATCATAATGGGATTTGGGCACCATTCAGGAAAGAGAAGAAACACATTCCTCAACCCGCTTCAACTTGACCAGGTTTGGCATTTGTCTCCATTGAAGAAAGTGGTTCAAATTCCTTGTGTGATTTAAAGCAGGGACTTGACCTTGAAACTCCAACCTCTCAGATGAGTGCTTAAATCGCCAGGCCATTAAAGATTGTATTTTCCTGTTTCAAAAGTGCGCTAAGCGTAGTAGTCGCTTGGCTGGGCAGGCAGCAGGTATCCCCTCTGCTGAGGGGAATACCCAAACCACAGAGATGCACTTTCATTTTTTCTCACTGAAAGAGTCTGTAGCTGTATACAGTGAAAAGCAGCTTCAAGAGCAAAGGGTAGGGAAGATGCACCCAGATACAGAGAATAACTTGGTAAAGTTGGTGTGTGTTGTCGAGAGAGAAAAAACCCAACAGTGTCCCAATGGCCGCCTGAGGAGGATGCGTGGGTGACACCTACACCACCTCCGTCCTGTAAGCTGTGCTTGTTTCCCTTAGGCACCTATTTCCCCCTAAACACATGCCTTCCAAAAAGACGTGTGTCGTCCAAAAAAATCCCTTTTCCAACCTAAATAACATTTTTGTTTGTTTGTCTTTCTGGGCAACTCGAAAGTTTCACTTCAAAAAGAGGAAGAAGAAAATAAAATCTATTAGTAGATTTCTGAAAAAGTCTTGAAAAGTAATAGTTTGGCTTGAGTGCCCTTCAAGTACCAACTCAAGTAACTTGTTTGCTAGCTCATCTGAACCACTCTTTTCCCAATAAACTATCATTTCATATGCTAATTTTACTACATTAAGACTCAGATAAAGCCTGTCCTGTAGTCTCAGATAATAAAATGAACAAGACAAGATATTGTTACTAATGTGTGACAGCACAATCTTGGAAAATAAAGTAGATGACACTGCAAAACATTTGAAGCAACAATTTAATTTTTAAAAAGTATCACAGTTTTAATCTTTACTATTGCTTTGACAGTGTTAAA